ACATAAGTTAGGTAATAAATACATTTCTTTTTGAACAGTGTCACCCCTTCCCTCCCTCTCTCCCACTTTTCCCTACCAACCCCACTCCCCCACAAGTTATATAGTTCATCCTCAACATAGTGTCTAGTGAGTATCACTACTGCATTTGTTCACCCTTTGTCCCACCATTTCTGAGCTCTCCTTTATCTATCCTCCCCCAGATAAACTTATATAGAAGACAAGAGATACAGAAATAAAAAAAAAAACAGTGACAGAGGACAGAAAAAAAAAAACTAAAACTTGCTCAGTTTTGTTTGCAGTTAATGCACCAATTGTGCTCACTTTCTGGTTTTGATATTGTACTGCAGCTATATAACGTATTAAGAGATGCTATGTGACACATACAGGGCTTTATTTGTAGTACTTTTGCAACTTCCTGAAAGTTTACAATTCTTTCAAAATAAAAAAGAATTTAAAATTTTTAAAGGCTGCTTTTTTTTTTTTCGGTCGTGGAGGCTGAACTCTGGGCCTGGGCGCTGTCCCTGAGCTCTTTAGCTCAAGCACCCTACCACTTGAGCCACAGCACCACTTCTGGCTTTTTTCTGTTTATGTGGTGCTGAGGAATCGAACCCAGGGCCTCATGCATGTGAGGCAAGCATTCCATCAAGGAGCCAACTTTCCAGCCCCCTTAAAGGCTATTTTTTTTTAAATAGTTTTGGTGTTTGAACTCAAGGTCTCATGCTTGCTGATGTGATACCACTGAAACATGTCTCCAGCCTTCTTTTTCACCAGCTAATTTTAGGGTAGAGTCTTTATTTCTGTTCAGTGTGCACTTGAACCAACTTTGCTTACTTTTTGGGTTCCTGTCATTCCTAGGATCATAGGCTGTGTCACCTAATTCAGCTTCCTTTGAATCTCATGAACCTTTCAGCATAGGCAGTGTGTTCTTTTCCATCTCAGCCTCCCATATGGCTTGGGATGGCAGATGTGCTATATGTTAAGAAGATATCTGGAGAAGTTACCTGCCCTGACTGTCCTCCAGCAACAATCTTCCTGTTCTCAAGTAGCTTTGACTCAATTAAGTGGGATGGGTTTAGTCTAGTTCTGCTGAAGGTAAAATATTATGGAAAACTAGTATTTTCTACTTCTCATTCCCAACCTATCACAAGACCAGTGAAATCTCACATATGTAGTAGTGAGAACATCTATACCTAAAATAAGCCAATCCTATTTTATTAATGTATCTCTTTTAAAATATGTGTATTTTGTTCCTTTTTAAAGTTACTTCTATGGGGAAACTGACAGTATTCAGTTATAATTAGAGGTACTGCCATGTTCTTAGCACTGTGCTAACTATGGTTTCTCTGCCAGTAACAACACAGGACAGATGATGTTCATATGTTCTACATACTGAACAGACTATTGCCAGATTTACTCAGGCTCCCAAACCATCTCCATGAAAAGTAAAATTGCACAACTCTATTGGTAATCCATTAGTTTAGTCATCACGTGTTGTAGCTGTGGCAAAGATAGAAGCCATGTTAGGAGAGTTGCATGCTAGCTGTAGCTATCACTTTTCCTCCTGCTTAAGAATGTATAATGGAATGCAGGGGAGGCAATGTAGCCTCATTACCTCATTGTGTGGAAAACCTGGAATTTGCTCAAGTTCATTTAAATTACTTATTTAAATTACTTTGCAACTTTAAATGATTTAAACTGCATTAAAAAAAGTACAAAAGAAATAAAATATATGGTTCTTACCCTGTAAACTGCTAAAATAGGTAGGGTAGACTAGAAAATGCCCCAGTTCAAGTTTCAGGTCTGGATTGTAATCTCAGCTCTGTTCCTACAAGTCATTAAAGCTGACAACACCTGAGTTTCCTCAGCTATAGCAGTAATATCTATTGCACTGATTGTTTTCTATTCTTCATCTTCACCAAAGTTACCTAGCACCATTTCTGACTCATATCTGCTCCTCACTGTAGCTTTGTCATGCAAAGTATGTACTTAGAGACTATATTCAAGCACATGCATATGTTAATGAAAATATGTCATAAAAGTGATAACTTTTTTCATAGTATTGAGAATTGAGCTCAGGGCTTCAAGTTTACAAGGCAGGAGCTCTACCACTTGAGCCACACTTCAGTTTCTCTAGTTATTATTGAGATAGGGTCTTTATTCCCTATCCCATCAAGGCTAAGCTCCTTCTACATGTGTTTCATGTTACTGTGGATGACTAGTGCATGCCATCGCATTCAACTATTTTGTTTTCCTTGTAGCTGGGATAACAAAAGCATATCAACCATTAGTTGAGATGGAGTGTGACAGACTTGTCTGCCAGGGCTGGCCTCAAACTGAGATCCCTTGATCTCCACTTAGCTAGGATTACAGACTTGAGCCATCATGCACAGAAAATGCAATAAATGAAAATACAACTATAAAAAGAGAGGTATTTGAAAATGGAGAGGGCCAAATTTTGCACAAGGCTCAGAGAAACCATTATGAAAGAAACGAAATTCATACTGGACTTTGGGAAGTGGCAAGATGGAAGAGGGAAGGGAAACCATTTCAAGAGAAGCCTCAGCTGAGGTTATATGGTTTCAAGAGAATCAAAATTGAAGGATGTATACTTGGAACCTGCCATGTATTCTATTTTAAATTATATTTTGAAGGAAGAGGTAGGTAGGAGAGAGATGGGTGAGCATGTTGAAAGGGGTGACATTGATCAAGATAGGAGAGGATCACAAAGGCTCAATATCTATGTGCATGTAATCATATAAAATAATATTTATAGAAATGAGCTCTAAGAAATGGAAACAATAGAGTTTTTTCTATGTTGCTATTTCTGTTTTCTTTACCTTTTGTCTTATTATTTTATCTGTTTGGGGGAGAGTAAGGAGGACACAGAAAGGGTGGGGGAAATGATAAATAAATGCAGGGGCAATACTCACTAAACAGTATGTTGAAAATGAACTATACAACTTGTGGGTGGGAAAAACTGGGAGGCAGCAAGAGAAGGGGTGCAAAAAAATGTACTCATTACCTGACATATAACTGTAACCCCTCTGTATATCACTTTTATGGTAACAATAAAAAATATTTTAAAGTCTCTAACAATGACCAAATATTTTACTACCTGAAATAATTTATTGTGATTCAAAATAAAAAGAAAAGATACGTTGTATTCATACACTGCTTCGTTAAATGGCAACTCCTTTGTATAACTACTTAAAGATAATAATAATAAAAAAATCTATTTTGGGTCCAGGTGCTGGTGGCTCATGCCTATAATTTTAGCTATTCAAGAGGTTGAAATCTGAGGATCACAGTTCCAAGCCAGCCCAGGCAGAAACATCAATGAGACTCTTACTCCAGTTAACTACTAAAAATTCGGAAGTACATCTGTGGCTCAAGTAGTAGAGTGCTAGCCTTGAGCAAAAAAGTTCAGGGACAGTGCCCAGGCCCTTAGTTCAAGCCGCAAGACCAGCACTATAGAAACATTGAGAGTTTTAAGCAATTTATCTCAAAATGTTACAGAATTTAAAGAATTTTACCAGTTGCCCTGTTACTGCTTAATGTTAGAACACCTACTTAGTACTTAAGAACCCTTATGTACCTTATCTTGAAATCTTGATTGGTGGGATTTGCATAGCTTCTATTGGTTCTAGTTAAACTTAGACTTGTTGGAAATAAATTCTTTTAACAAAGCTGAGAATGGCATAATAGTGGAATAAGAGCAATAGGTTTTAGTAGGCTTTATAATATTGTTTTCACATTATTAATGGTATCAATTTAGTTTTTTGTTGTTGTTTTTTGTTTTGTCAGTTGTGGGGCCTGAACTCTGGGCCTGGGCCCTGTCCCTGAGCTCTTCAGCTCAAGACTAGCACTCTACCACTTGAGCCACAGCGCCACTTCCGGCTCTTTCTGCTTATGTGGTGCTGAGGAATCGAACCCAGGGCCTCATGCATGCAAGGCAAGCACTTTACCACTGAGCCACCTTCCCAGACCAACAATTTAGTTTTTTTTAAAGAAAACTTTAGTATTCTTATAAACTGATTGTTACTAAATAGTGGTTGATGTTCTGGATACTTAAGCTGCAGAAAATGTGGAATATAAGTGATTAAATATTTGCCTCGAATATGTGTGTGTGTGTGTGTGTGTGTGTGTGTGTGTACATATATAATTTGTAAGATTTCATTTTTATTTTCATAGAGATATATTTGGTTAATGAAATCTTAGCTTGGTCTTTATTGGGTTTGGTTTGTGTACTAGAACAATGATATTATTCTGAAGCAAATAAATCTCACTTTTTTGTCAATAGTGAATCTACCACAGATACTTGTAATTTATCAAATTCTAAGATGCTTTTTGCTGTATAACTTCAATTTTGCAACAATTTTTTTGGTGAACAAATCATCTTAAGGTATTTATTAAATGCCTACTATATACAAAGCATATATACTCAGCAAGAGTAAGTGAAAAAGAGCAATATGATACAGACCCTAAAAGGTTAAGTACTAACAAAAGGAAACTACATATACAAACAACTATAATATTATTATTAACTGCCATGACATTTGTGGGAATTCATATTACATAAAGCATTTTTCCCCTCTGTGCAATCCCCATCAGTGCCAGTAGCCCACAGGTAGAGGCCAACCAATGGTTCAAGACCACAGATTGCTCTGGTATGGGATACTATGAAAGGCCCAAGGGGACGGGCCTACCAAAAATCCAATCCATGCATCAGAAAGCATTTTTGTGTGGCTGATAAAGGATTTTATAGAAGCAGGAGCACTTGACTAATTCACATAGCTTATAAGTGAATATTATTACAGCAGTTTAATGTAGAAATTCTGAAATGATAGCTTTCTCAATGCCAAAGATTTTTATCATTTATAAATAGGAGAAATTATTCCAAAACAAGTAAATGATTAATATCTAAACATTACCACAAATACTAATGTACTTTTATAAATATTTTATGTATGATAGGTAATTGATGTTTTTATGTTTCTCAGGCCATGAATATTGTGGTCCCCTTCATGTTTAAATATGCTGTAGACAGCCTCAACCAGATGTCGGGAAACATGCTGAACCTGAGTGATGCACCAAATACAGTTGCAACCATGGCAACAGCAGTTCTGATTGGCTGTATGTGTGATTCTTTAATCTGTCTACAGGTGTTGACTTTCTCCAAGAAGGTTTCATCATATTTGAGCAGATGACCTTTTCACCATAAACACAACTTAGCATTTTGGATGTTTATTATTTTATGTGAGATTTTTTGATATGCTTTTAAAAATTCTTTGTATATTTTGCTAAAAAATTTCATAATAGTATTTTCTACATTCTAGAAAATAATAATATAAAATAAGATATTAAATTTATAACAACCTTCAATAGGCTTTGGATAATATAGCCTTTCTAGTAAGGCTAGTTATTTTCTTGCTGATGTTGTTAGCTATTAAATAGAAATAGCTCAAGAATAGTACATTATGCTTTATTAAAATATTTTCATAGCCCTGACATAAAACTACAGTTTGAAAAGGGCAATATGAATACTGTGTGGCTCTATTCATAAAAAAGAACGCTGTGAGACTTGGGAGGCAAGAGTGGGGGCATGCTTTTAGTCAAAGTACTTGACTTTTCAGAATCTCAATCTTATTTGTTATTTGAAAGAATTGAATTAGATCAAAAACCTTAACAGATATACACTTATCTGCAGTAAGGCCATATGGGCCATAATTTATTAAAAGTATTTTAATTAGGAAAAAAATCGTTCAACGTGTAAAATGCAGTGGAAAAAAACACTGAAAGGGACTCATGATGATGGAAAGGTTACTAATCATTAGAGTAGATGGATTTTAGGTGTTTTAGTGTAAATATCCTGTGTTACATCCAATGATTGAATTATTCATTGCACAAATATTTTTCTGAGTCCTTGCCATTTTACACTTCAACAATTCCATTTTTACACTCTTTTTTTAATTTATTGTTAGATGGTGTATCAAGAGCTGGAGCTGCCCTTTTTAATGAAATTAGAAATGCAGTATTTGGAAAAGTAGCCCAAAATTCAATCCGGAGAATAGCCAAAAATGTCTTTCTCCATCTTCACAACCTGGATCTGGGTTTCCACCTGAGCAGACAGACAGGTGCTTTATCTAAGGCTATTGACAGAGGAACAAGAGGTATCAGTTTTGTCCTGAGTGCCTTGGTATTTAATCTTCTCCCCATCGTGTTTGAGATGACTCTTGTCAGTAGTATTTTGGTAAGTAATACATTTTTTTCATACTAAGCTTTTACCTTACATTTTCATTAACAGCAGTTGAAGATTTGAAACACTCATACACAACTAGGGGTTTGAAAGTAAAATTTCCTGATGCCAGAAAGATGATAGTTATATTTACAGTTTATTTTGCCACAGATTTCAAAGGACTGTCCAAATTATTTATCATGTTTTTATCGCAAAATAATTGTTTGTCTGTACACGCAGTAATTAGTGCCTGCAAAGGTTTGGAGGTTTTTTTGGGGGGGGAGGGGAGAATCACAAATATCCTTTATTGGTAAAGAAATAGACTGTTTTCATTTATACAATGGAATGCTACTTGACAATAAGAAAAGTGAAATATTGATACATGCAACAACATGGATAAAACTCTATTGTGTTACATAGAATATGCCACTCTCAAAGGCTACATGGTGTGATCCTGCAAGTAGGGCCTGAGGCTACAGGGACAGGAAATAATTCTGGAAAGGGATGGAAATGTTCTATATTTTGATTGTGGTGGTGGCTACAAAACTATGTTTTTATCAAAATCTATAGAACTATACACTAAAAACAGTGAAGGTTTGTTTTTGTTTTTGTTTTTTAGCAGAGCTTTGTATATAAGACCTTGGACTGGCCGGGTGCCAGTGGCTCATGCCTGTAATCCCAGCTACTCAGGAGGCTGAGATCTGAGGATCACAGTTCAAAGCCAGCCTGGGCAGGAAAGTCATGAGACTCTTATTTCCAATAAACCACTAGAAAACTGGAAGTGGCACTGTGGCTCAAGCGGTAGAACACTCGCCTTGAGCTGAAGAGCTTAGGGACAGTGCCCAGGCCCAGAGTTCAAGCGCCATGACCCACAAAATAAATAAATAAATAAAAAGACCTTGGACTGATATGCTCAGATACATTGGTTTCTGTTAGCCACTCTATTTCATGTTTTATAGTTAAATGTGAGTATATGAATGTGTGTATGCACACATAGTAATTAGTAGCATTTGATGGGAGTATAAATGGGACAAGTGCAGTGCAGTTTGACATCCTTTCTTTATTACCTAGAGAGGTTGTATAAAATATTTGATTTCTTGCCGTTTATTGATACATAGAACTAACTACCATACTTTTATAAATGTCTTTTGACTAAAATTTGTTGTTACTCTAAGTGACAAGAACAATATCTGTTTCTCATTTCTTCTCCTGACTTCTTTTTCCAGTATTACAGATGTGGTGCCCAATTTGCCTTGGTAACCCTGGGAACACTCGGTGCATATACAGCCTTCACAGTTGCAATCACCCGGTGGAGGTATGATATCCCCCAGAGGCTAGTCAATGTTTAGAAGCTATGTTTTTATAACATCCATTTCATACTTGTGCAAATCTTTGTCTTACAGAACTAAATTTAGAATAGAAATGAACAAAGCAGATAATGATGCAGGTAACGCCGCTATAGATTCACTGCTGAATTATGAAACTGTGAAGGTAATATGTTTGATTATACTCTGTTTTGCCTTTACACTGCACTATGATTTGTTCTGCCATTTACTTTAAAAGGAGCTATAACTTAGAACATCAGATTAGGATAGGATCTCTAGGTATGATGGAAGGTTTCTTTTGCTTAGAAAATGCCCTGTTTTCCTTTTCAGTTTTTGTTTGGCAACCTCAGAATTTTTATCTTCTGCATTGACTTGTAAGTGATCATAAATATATCATTAGCATCTTGATTCAGAGTGATCATTAAGCTAATCAAGCTGACGTGTCAGTTCTTAATCCTCTTCCTGTCTATCCCTCAGAGTACCTAGCATAGTACTTTTCATAATTCTCAGGTTTTTGTTTATTTTCCATTCTTCTCATGTACAAAGCATTATACTGAGTGAAGAGAGTGGTAAAAATAACTACATTGTAATCCTTGCCCTCTCAGATTTTTACAGTGTATTGAGTTAAGTATGCAGATGCCTAGACAAGACGACAAAATGTGGCAAGGGTAGTGGGGAATGCAGTTCAGAGGATCAGGAAAAGACTTCCTAAAGGAAGTACCACTGAAGGTTTTTTAATTATGTCACTTTAGATTAGGCATTCAGTAAATATTAGTTGGACAAATTTTGCTGACTTTTGAAATACAATCCATTGTGGAAATGCAAAGTACAGGGTCACATGTATTGATAGTAATTTTTTTGTGTGTCCATCGTGGGGCTTGAACTCTTGGCTTGAGTGCTGTACCTAAGCTCTTCAGCTCAAGGCAAGCACTCTACTGCTTGAGCCACAGTGCCACTTCCAGTTTTCTGGTGATATATTGGAGATAGGAGTCTCATGGACTTTCCTGCCCGGGCTGGTTTTGAACTGTGATCCTCAGATCTCCGCTTCCTGAGTAGCTAGGATTACAGGTGTGAGCCACTGGCACATAGCAAAAGTAATTTTTTTAAGATGGTGTCTGCAGTACAAAATTCTATCTAAGGGTAGGTACAGTGGCTCACTTATAATCACAGCTCCCCAGGAGGTGGAGATCAGGAAGATGATGGCTCAAGTCTAGCCCAGGTAAAAAAATTAATAAGATTCCCTTCTGAACAAAGCAAACTATCTTCTCAACTATTTTCGGAGGTTGTAGAATAAGTAAGACCCTATCTGAAAAATAACCTAAAGCAGAAAGGGCTAGAAGTGTGACTCAAGTGTTGGAGCACCTACCTAGCAAGCATGGTGCCCTCTATTCAAACTCCAGTACTGATCAAAAAAATGTATCTCTGTATGAAACCTGGTGAAAACTAACACTGAACATTGTTAAACAATATATGCCAATTATATTTGTTATTCCAATAATATTATTTTAACAATTACTGTTTTATGTGTTTTATAGTATTTTAATAATGAAAAATATGAAGCACAAAGATATGATGGATTTTTGAAGAGTTATGAGAATGCTTCATTGAAAAGTACCTCTACTCTGGCTATGCTGAACTTTGGCCAAAGTGCTATTTTCAGTATTGGTTTAACGGCTATAATGGTGCTCGCCAGTCAGGGAATTGTGGCAGGTAATGGATGTGAGGTTATCACATTTATAGACTATTTAACTTAACTTTTATAAATAAAAATTAATGAAAGTAATGTGTATTAAACTTAATGATAAAAGGATATTCAGTAAAGTATTTTAGCACTTTTTGGAGTGCTTTCTTTTTTATATTAGAATGTATTTTCTTGGTTGATAAGCACTAACACATCAAATGGGATTTCTGTTATATGTGTCTACAATCTGATTCATGAACAGCTTTTTTTTAGCATCTAGTCTCTTGTAGACCTAGAAGCCAACCTCATTAATTAATCCAAAGGACTAAAATGTAGGCTGTTTTGTTTCTGGAATTACCAGTATCCTTATAATCTTTTATACATCCTCTTTCCATTTGGTAACATTCAAAAAGTAATATCTATGTCTCTTTCTGTAAACCTCCCAACTCAATTAGAATGCATTTACTCACTGTTGTTAATATAAGACTTATTTTTGGTCCATTTGCTCCAATTGTTTAATGTATATGAATTTTTTTTTTGTCGGTCATGGGGCCTGAACTCTGGGCCTGGGCGCTGTCCTTCAGCTCTTCAGATCAAGGCTAGCGCTCTACCACTTGAGCCACAGTGCCACTTCTGGCTTTTTTTGCTTATGTGGTGCTGAGGAATGAAACCCAGGGCCTCATGCATGCAAGGCAAGCACTCTACCACTGAGCCACCTTCCTAGCCCTTGTATATGTACTTTTATAAACATGTTTTATACTAGAAATAAACTATCGTTTATAGCTTAGAGTCAAAAAGGAGAAAAATTTTAGCCTTTTTTATCCTTACTTATACCATTCTTTTTGTATTACATATAGTATATAGGTGAGCTTGTCCCACTCCACTTTACATATAACCTTGTATTATCTAAATCATGGATTCAAATGCTTTGAATCCTGAGAACTGTTCTTTATGCATATTTTAAACTGTATTTCATAGTAGTAGACTATAAAACTTTCTTGTCTTAAGACAGCTGGGAAGGTGTGTGGCATTAATCTAAAACATTTTTTCCTTCTGCTAATTGCATATTTAGGTACCCTTACAGTTGGAGATCTAGTAATGGTGAATGGACTACTTTTTCAGCTTTCATTACCCCTTAACTTCTTGGGAACAGTATATAGAGAAACTAGACAAGCACTCATAGATATGAACACCTTGTTTACTCTGCTCAAGGTAGACACCCGGATTAAAGTAAGTAATCTGTATAGTATCTTTTCAAAGTATGTGAGCCTATCTCATTACTATTGGATTAACACTATTGGAGCCTTCTTATATCACCAAGTCATCAAAAGCATTTTCTATTGCAAGAAGTAGGGATGTCATGTGTATTAAATGGTTGTTAAAGATTTCACTTCTGTGTATAAAAAACATATAGTGTTAACAGTTTATGTTATACCAGGGAACTAAATTTTGTTGAATTAACTTTCTACTTGAACTAAATTTACTTTTGCTAACAATAATATAGAATGTATGATTACTATCTTTGTATTTTCTTCTCCAGTTTTCTCCTGCTCATCATTCCTGTTCCCATCCCCCCCCTTAAAAAAAGTTGGCTAGCAACCAAAACATTCAATATTTTTCCTCTTAGCAGTGAGAACCAAGAAAGACTTAAAAAGTATGCTTAGAAATGTTCTAATTCCACTTACATAAACCTACTCCTTTCCCATTATTTTTTCTGTGAATGTAAAAAAAAAATTGTGTGACTGTACTCAAGGTAACTTATAAAGTATTTGTTTGTTTTTTCTTCCCTACTAGGACAAAGAGATGGCATCTCCCCTTCAGATAACACCCCAGACAGCTACAGTAGCCTTTGATAATGTGCATTTTGAATACATTGAAGGACAGAAAGTCCTTAGTGGAGTATCTTTTGAAGTCCCTGCAGGAAAGAAAGTGGCCATTGTAGGAGGTAGTGGGTCAGGGTGGGTAATTTAGTTATTTATAAAATTCTGTTTTGATAATTCTGAACATCTTTTTCTTATCCTAGTAAAATGGTTATTCTGGTTTAAATAGAGACTTCAGAATGACAATGGGAGCTAAGTAATCTTTCTTCATGTTTAATTTCAGGAAAAGCACAATAGTGAGGTTGTTGTTTCGTTTTTATGAGCCTCAAAAAGGAAACATTTACCTTGCTGGTCAAAATATACAAGATGTAAGCCTGGAGAGCCTTCGGAGAGCCGTGGGAGTGGTACCTCAGGTATTTTGTGTTGGGTGTCCCAGAACATCCAACTGGAATAATTTGAAGCCAAATAACATATACTAATGAAAGAGTAATATTAGGCCCTGCAAGTGAAATAACCTTACTAAGAAGAATTTTTTTAATAGAAGAGAAAAATCTTGAATGGAGAAACTGCATTAGAGGAAGATTTTTATGCCTAATGTTATAGCATAATAGAGTAGGAAGAACACAGACTAGAATCAGACTTTTGAATCAGACTTTGGTTCTAACCCTGTCTGTCTCCAAGACGATTCTTGGGCCTTGGGTCTCCATTTCCTAACCTCTGAAGTAAAGATAACATTTATCCTGTAAGATAGGATTATTGTTACAGACCACAGGTTTTATAAGTGCAGCATCTATCACAGTTGTTCAGAAAATGGGAACAAGTATTGTAATTTTGAAAGCTTTCAACATAGTAAATTTATAACTTCGAGAAAAACTGGCTGTTAATCTCACATGTATGCCTTGTTTACCATTGCATCTTCACTACTTACCGCATTCCCTAACCTATAGTAAACATTTAATAAAATATTTGCTAGTGACACTGGAGAGGAATGAATTCAAAGTAAGATATGAGAAGACAAGAAGTAGAGATAGTCTTTATAGGATGTGAGGTTCATTTTGTGTTGAAAACATATAGAGTATCTGGGAATGAAGCTTAATGGTACAATGTTTGCCTAGCATACGTGAGGCCCTAGATTCAATCCCTAGTTCCACCTAGAAAAAGAAGAAACCTTTTAGAGATTCATGGGAATTAGTTGCAGCTAGTATTATAAAGTTAATTTCTGGAATTAAATACCTGGGAATACAGATCAAAATATCACTTTCTTAAAAATGAAGTGGTCAGACAGAGATACGTTGCTTGCAAAAGATCCCCACTTGGTCCAACGTATGATACTTCACTGAGAATCTCAAACTTTAGTGGGTATGAGTCATTACTGAAATTGCAGTTCTGATTATGGAGGGCAATGTGGACAGAAGCCTGCATTTTAAAATATATATCATAATGATTCTGATAGGTGGTTTGTGACTGTGTTTTAAGAAACACTAACCCATACTGTTTATCAACTGAACCATATTCTGGGCTGTAACTACATAGAATTCAATGTCTTCATTCCTATAACTAGATTCCTATCATTCTCTTAGGCTCTGTAATGGTTATTTTTATACTTTTGAAAAATAAAATATTTTATTCATAAAGGAAAAATATGCAAGATCAACAAAAAAGATACTCAACCTCATCGAAGGCCTTAGATATGTAAATTAGCAATAGGAGATTGTTTTTATCTATCTCAGCCTCCTAAGTAGCTAGGATTACAGGCACGAGCCACGGGCACCTGGATTATTTTTTAAATTTATACATTTATTTTTTATTTATTTATTTTGGGTCTGGTTGTGGGGCTTGAACTCTGGGCCTGGGCGCTGTCCTTCAGCTCTTCAGCTCAAGGTTAGTGCTCTACCACTTGTGCCACAGCGCCACTTCTGGCTTTTTTCTTTTTCTTATGTGGTGCTAAGGAATCGAACCCAGGGCCTCATGTATGCAAGGCAAGCGCTCTACCATTGAGCCACCTTCCCAGCCCCCTAATTTATAAATTTAATTGTGTACATTTAAGATATATGTATATATACTGTGATGAGATTCATATAGATAATAAAATGATTATCTCACATAACTACTCATTGTTCATATGTGGCAAGAGCAACTAAACTCATATCTAGCAAAAGTCATTATTTTTTTTTCTGCTTATGTGGTGCTGAGGAATCAAACCCAGGGCCTCATGCATGCAAGGGAAGCACTGTACCACAGGGCCACCTTCGCAGCCCAAAAGTCATTATTTTTTGAGACAGAATCTCTGAGGCCTTAGCTAGCCTCAGACTCAAACAGTCCTCCTTATTCTGCTTCCCAAGTGGTAGATTACAAGCATGTGCCATCATACCCAGCTAATTTTCACTCTGGCATTTTGAATTTTCATATTATTCAGTTCAGTTAATGCTTGGTAATTTTTCACAGAATATGAAGTATTTAAAATAGTTTCTATTTATGGAACTTTGAGTTCATGTTGTGTCATTTCAATGTGTTTATATATGTGGTATTAGTTCTTTGTTGTCTGTGCTTCAAGTTCAGTATCAAAGCTTCTCAAGAATAAAGGAAAACATTCAACCTCATTGATAACTAGGGAAATGCTTATTTGAACAGAAAGCACATCTCTAAAAGTAGCAGCAACTGAATATTGTTAATTCCTGGAGTTGCTGAAGATATGGAGAGCTGTCAACATGATGCTGTTTATCAAGAGTACTGCTACATTACTACCTGTTTCTGGAAGATAGTTGGGCAATACTCTCAAAGCCCAAGCACGTACTTACCTTCTGACCCATCCGTATTCTAGGAATTATTTGTATGGAATTTCCCAGATGTTCAAGTCACATATGTAAAATGATCTTTCCAACATTGTAGCAGCAAATATTAATGAAATGTATGTTCAGAACAAGAATGGATGAGTAAATTATGATATAGTATGAAATGTTCAAGGTTTCTGTAATTGACATGCAGAGTTTTTAAGATATAGGAAAAAGCAGTTTGTAATGATTACACTCATGTTGGAAAAAAAGATATGTTTAGGCATATAAAGACATAAAGTCTGGAATTAGAACCGATTGAGCAGGTCATGGTGGTTCATGCCTGTAATCCCAGCACTAAGAAGGCTGAGGTGAGAGGATCATGAGTATGAAATTAGTCCAAATCACCCATGATGATTCACTTCTAGGAAGGTAAATGGAGTGGTAGGGATAATGCTTGATCAAAGAGGCTATCATGGTTTATTCATTAAGACTTTACAATTGTTTTAATGTTTGTAAACATACATACATACATACACATGTAAATCTACTTTAGGATGCTGTCCTCTTCCATAATACTATTTACTACAACCTCTTATATGGAAACATCAATGCTTCGCCTGAGGAAGTGCATGCAGTGGCAAAATTAGCTGGACTTCATGATGCAATTCTTCGAATGCCTTGTGGATATGACACCCAAGTAGGGGAACGAGGTCTCAAGCTTTCAGGTGAGCAAAGATTTTAAGCCTGTTCCCATTAGTATACTCTCTTCAAACAACATTTTTAGAACCATTTTTTATCAGTAGTATATGTTTATATCAGTGTTGATTTATAATACATCATCTTCATATTAAAGGATTGTTACTCACTTGGGAAAGTAGTAAGAGCTTATAGGGAGATAGTAAATAGTGTATCTCTTATAATTTCTTAGGGAGGTTTTCAGTACTGTAGGCCTTATTATACTTGGTCCTGTTCATTTGCTTATACTTGTTAGCTCAGTGGTCAAGATTTGGAGGAGAGTTGTCTATTTTAGCATGAATATAATCTTACTAATATTAGACATAAAAATTTCCTTTTACAATTCAATAATTATTGTACAAGTTAAAATAAAATATTATTTATTGTACCAGATTAATTAACTGGCAGAGTTTGTTTGTTGAAAGTAACTGAAATTGAAGAATGCAAGTTTATTTTTCAGACATTATAATGTTCAGGGCTAACCAAAGAGGTGAAAAAGGACATAATCAACAAAGCACTACTATCTATATTTCCAAGTATAGTTTATGATTACCTTAGATCCACAGAAGTCTCAGATGAAAAAAGAAAGGGTTTTTTATTTTTATTTTTGTCGGTCGTGGGGCTTGAACTCTGGGCCTGAGTGCTGTCCCTCAGCCCTTCAACCCAAGGCTAGCACTCTACCACTGAGCTACAGGGCCACTTTGGGTTTTCTGGTGGTTTATTGGAGATAAGAGTTACATGGACTTTCCTGCCTGTGCTGGCTTTGAACCTCGATCCTCAGATCTCAGCCTCCTGAATATCTAGGATTACAGGAGTGAGCCACCGGCACCCAGCTTTAAAATTTCATTTCATTAATTTTTTTTTAATTTTTTGTGAGTCCTAGGGCTTGACCTTGAGGCCTGGGCTCTGTCTTTGAGCTCTTTTGCTCAAAACTAGCACTCTACCACTTTGAGCCACAGTACCACTTCAAGTTTTCTGGTGGTTACTTGGAGATAAGAGTCTCTCAGACTTTGCTGCCTACACTGGCTTTGAACTGTGATCCTCAGATCTCAACCTCCTAAGTTGCTAGGATTACAGGCATGAGCCACTAGCACCCAGCTTATTAAATTTATTTCATTAAATACTTTCATTTTTTAGGATACGAATATTTCCTAACTATATATTCCTGTATTTAGGAGTAATTCCAAAATAAGTGTAGGCTTATACATTTGTGATAGGAAGAATATTAAAGTAGGAGTTAAATCTAGTCTATATTCTGCTGGAACTAGATTTGTGACTTTGAACAAGTTGTTTAATCTTTCTGAGCCTCTGTTTTAGTTTATAAAAATCAATTATGCTAGAGACCTAAAACAAATAGTGAAGAAGTAAAAGATACCAAGTGTATACCCTTAATTTGATGAATGCTGTGGAAACAATATGCTCCTCAAAAAAGATCCTTGGGAGAATACTGACTAAATGACACTTTAAAAAATATTGACATAAATTTAAATATTCATGGTTCATATCTTTAAGTTTTCCCGTTTTAGATCCTAAATTTGTTTTTAGCTTTATTGATTCCCCACTATTGAAAGTTTTCTATCTGAAATTGTGAGACGTCTATAATATAAAGTAACAAGCCAGGCACCCAACAAGCTGAGTGTGGTGCCGCAAAACTGTCATGCCAGCTACACAAAAGGCTGAAATTGGGAGAATTGCAGTTGAAGGCCACCTGGGCAGAAAAGTTCACATCTGCAACTCAGTGGAAAAAGGTGGGCATGGTACCATACATGTCTCATCCCAGACAATCCCAGAGATTATTGTGTGGACACAAGCCCAGCAAAAAGCAAGACTCTTATCTCCAAATAGCCAGTCTTAACAGTAGAAGTGTACACACACACACACACACACACACACACACTCGCCATGCACACACACACTCGCCATACACACACACACACTCGCCACACACACACAATCGCCATAAGTCAGATTGTAGTATTAATTTGTGTTCCGGGGATATACTTTTTCAACCTAGACTCTACAACTCAGAAAAAATACTTAAAAAGAGTATAAGTAAACCTTAAAGGTATAACTTGGTAGTTATTATATAATATTTCTATACTATGTTTCTTTAAATGTTTTCTTTGCCAGGAGGAGAAAAGCAGAGAGTTGCAATTGCACGAGCCATTTTGAAGAACCCGCCAGTCATTGTCTATGATGAAGCTACGTCATCATTAGATTCAATTACTGAAGAGGTAAATGATTATCAAACTATAGTTTAGCTTTTCTCCTTAGAAGTTTTCTCAAAAGTGTGCATTAGTTTGTATTTTGAATGAACTTCTGTAGGAGATTCTATAGAACAAAATGCCTAGCCCCTTTTCCCCAATATGGCAAATATTAATGGTAGATATGCCATGGTTTGTTGAGCTAGATATTATACTGTTGAATCTATTTGCAAACATGTCTCTGTTTGGCACTGTGTGACACCTTATGCTGTTGTTGCATTACCCTTGCATCTTGCAGCACTATACATGTCGTCTAATACACTGTCAAAGAAGAGGGATTGATTCTCTCTTGCTGCTGCCGTTTAACACTCATTAATACAATATCTAACTCATTGTGACACAGTGTACACCATGAATGCCTTTTACTTATCAGGGACAATTCTTTGAGCATGCAGAACTGGTATCAATTTGTATTCATTTCACAGGAAGTGTTATGAAACAACGAGATGTTGTGACATTTATGTCATGATGCTACCCTAGCAACTACAGTGCACTTTACATGCATTTGTTACATTAAAAGTCTCAGTAGTGATATAATTTAGTAAACAGATCCCCTCAATCTAGCACTGAAGATAGTTGTCAGTTGCCTACCTTTTGACTTAGTACTTTTAATGTATAAACCTAATGTTAAAGAATTAAATCATCTTTCAGCTTTATAGACTATATAACATTTGCATGTTTAGTTAAGTTTCAGTATACTTTGAAACACTATGTTTAAAACTGTAATTTCAAAATGAATTGGTTATCATGAGGATGTGTTATAATTCAAGTGAACCTTCATCAGGACCAGATCCCATTCATCAGAGGAAAACTTATTTATAAGAACTTATACCTAAAAATGTATCATATCTGGTGGGGGGATTGGGGGGGGCGGGGGGGGAGGCTGGGAAGGGATGTTAAGGGTAAACAAAGGAGGAGGCTGCAATGCTTGATAAGAAATGTAGTCATTATCTTGCCCATGTAATTGTAACCCCTCTGTACAGTATGTTCACAAAAAATAAAAATTATAATTTAAAAAATGTATCATACTACTACAAATTAAAATTTCTACCCACACTCTTTGAGTTATATAGCATTATTATGCCAGTGAACGTTCCTTACTAAAACTTCATAGAGAACCTACCAAGTGAGTTACCAGAAGATTTGAGAAGTTTGAATGGGCCTTTTTAAGTTTTTCTGAATAAGAAGCCTCCACAAAGATCCTAGTGTTTCTTAATGTTGGCCCTGCACTTTTATTTCAGCATAAACTAATTGTACAAGATTTCACTATGACAAATCCATACATGCATACAACACACCTTAACTAAACCCTTCTCCCACTAAAACCTTCTTCCTTTTCCCCTTTCTTAGATAATTTCAGTAGATTTCATTATTCTATTTTCTTTTGAAAAAATTTTATTGTTACTGTAAAGATGATATACAGAGGAATTAGCCACAAGTCAGGTAAAGAGTTATTTCTTTTTGGACAGTGTCACCCCTTCCCTCAGTGTCTCCCAGTTTTTCCCTCCTGTCCTTACCCACAAGTTGTATAGTTCACTTTCAATAGTGTCTATGAGTACTACTGCTGAATTTGTTCACCCTTCTGTTTTCATTATACATATATAAAATGTGTGTGTTTATGTATGTATGTATATATAATGTATTTTGTCACATTCATCTACCATCAACCTTTCCTTTTCCTTCTCTTGGTTGCCTCCACTTGGTTCCTTTTATAATCATGTCATTACTATTACTACCATTGTTATTGTTGCTTAAGTCTGCATTCCTCATATGAACAAAAACATGTGATATTTGTGTTTTAGAGCTTGACTTGCCTTGAGTTCCTCCATCCTTCTGCAATAATATATCATCTTTTTAAAATTTTTTTCTGTATAAATTGTTTTTATTATTATATCTTTAAATAGTTGTACAAAGAAGTTCCCATTCTGCAAAACAGTATATGAATATAAGGTGTCTGACAACATTGTCACCCATCGCTCTTAACCCATCCCTTCTCTCACTTTTCTTTTTTAATTGAGAGTAGGTGATTACATAAATTTCACATATTTCACAAAATTGTGGAATAATGATACTTCAAGTCACGAACACATTTTAACCTTCACAAGGCAAATTGTCATTATCATGGTCTATAGTTTGTGAATTCTATGAGCTTTGACAATACAAATTATTTCTGCCACATCAGTTGATGATTACATTTCTTTCCTTTTGCTTAGTGTAAGCTGTTCCCTCTTTCCCTCTCATTCCTCCCTTCCCATCACTGTCTTTGGGTTGTTTAGTTCTTTTTCTTTTATGTCTGGTGCAGCTGATGGGTAATATCTTTTTATGGCTAAATAATACTTCATTTTATATATGTACCACAATTTCTTTTTCCATTCTTCTTGTTGCCCTTGTTGGGCAACAAAGCTGATTCCATAGCTTGGCCATTGTAAATAGTGTAATAAACAAGGAGATACCTATTGGTATCTCTATGATTTGTTTATCCTTCAGACATATGCTTAAGAGATGATAAACTACGATGGTATGGTAGTTCCATCCTTCATTTTTTAAGGAGCTTTCATATTCATTTCAATAATAGCTGCACTGATTTACATTCCCACCAGTAGGGTATAAGGGATCTTTTTTTCTTGCGTCTTTGATGGCATTTGTTGTTTGATTCTTTAATGGTAGCCATTCTGACAGGGGTGAAATGGAATCTCTGTCATTTTGATCTGTATTTCATCTATGTATTGGCCATTAGTATTTCTTCTGTCTATTCATGTGACCATTGGATTATTTGTTCTTTTAATATTTAATTCCCGGAACTCCTTATATATTCTGAATATTAATCCTTTGTCTGCAGAGGTTTTCACTTACTCTGTGCATTGTCTCTTCATTCTGGTAATTGTTCCCTTTGATATATAACAAAGATTTTGAATCTACTTCAATCCCATTGATCAATTCTTGCTCTTATTTCCTGGGCGATTGGATTCCTTTTCTGAGTGCTCCATATAGTTTTTTTTTTTTTTTTTGTCGGTCGTGGGGCTTGAACTCTGGGCTTGGGCATTGTCCCTCAGCTCTTCAACTCAAGGCAAGCGCTCTACCACTTGAGCTACAGTGCCACTATGGATTCCTTTTCATAAAGTGGTTGCCACTTTTATTTTCCTGTTGTAGTTTCAAAGTTTCAGGTCTTTGATTAAGGTGTATGATCCATTTTAGTTAGGTATGGTAGCTTACACCAGTACTTATAGAGTGTATGAATAAAAGCTGGATTTGGAGGTACACATTGTGTAAACAGGAATCTTGTGGTCCAGGCTGGCCCAGGCATGAATAGGAGAATCTATCTGAAAAATAATGAAAGTAAAAAGGACTAAGGCATGTAACTGGAAGAGTCCCTACTTAGCAAGCACAAGGCCTGAGATCAAAGCCCAGAACCTCAAAATGTTTATGTAAGCTCTGTGATCTCTTTTCAATTGATTTTGTGATACTGTTTGCTTTCACATTCCATTAGCTTGAAAGAACTTTTTCTATCCTCTCACTTTAGTCTATGTTTACGTTTGCCAGAGAAGTAGGCAATAAATGACTGGGTCTTGTTTTTTTTATCTATCTCACCAGTCTTTGCCTTATGATTGCAGAATTGAGGCTGTTAACATTTAGTGTTCTTATTGAAAGGTATGTAGTGATTCTTGCCATTTTGTTCATTTTATAATGCTTGAAACTTAGCTTATCTGTATCATCTGCATGTCCTTTTTTTTTCCTGGCCCGGGCGCTATCCCTGAGCTCCTTTTGCTCAAGGCTAGCACTCTACCACTTGAGCCATACCACCACTTCCAGTTTTTTTCTGTGATTAATTGGAGATAAGAGTCTCAGGACTTTGTTGCCTGGGCTGGCTTCAGACCATGATCCTCAGATCTCAACATCCTGAGTAGCAGGATTACAGGCATGAGCCCCCAGCACCTGACTTGCATGTCCTTTTTAATTTCATTGTTTATTTTTCTGATCATTCTCTGAGATTTCACCCACTTCACAAGCATTGGATTCCATTGTATAGCTATTGATTCTTGGAAGTATCATGTTGTGTTGTTTTCTTGTATTATTTTGTGGGATTTTTTTATTTGTAGCCACCTGTTCAGCTATAAGTTTTCATCTCTTGTGTCCTTTCATTTGTAATACTCTCAATGCTTAGGCAAGGCTGAGTTAGTAGCCATGTTATAGCATAGCTTCTCATCTCCGGATTGGGGTATATGGCTTAGAAATCAAACATTCACCCACAATGCACAGTACACTTGGTCCACTCACTCAGGGAGAACAAGGCTAACTGAAAGAGTGCCACTGCTTGGTCCCTTTCTGAAGATGTAGAGTTGGGTACCTTTAGTACCCCATCTTCACCTTCCTTTATTCCTAAATGGCTTTACTTGATTCCCAAACTAACATAGTAAAATATGAGATCTTCTTAGGTAACTATCTTCTCTCAGTAATTTATACATTTAATAAGTAAAAGGTTTAGAAATTTTGTAGGAAGTAAGTGAGAATATTTCCACCTCCCTTCCACACTTCTATTTTCATTTAGCTAACTGAACTTACCTAGATTTCCAAGTACAGCCAAAGATAGAAGAGAGAGAGAGAGAGAGAGAGAGAGAGAGAGAGAGATACACCTCTGTCTGTTTGTCTGCCTGTCTGTCTGTCTGTCGGTCCGTCCTGGAGCTTCAACTCAGGGCTTGCTTGGGTGATGTCCCAGAGATTTTTACTCAAGGCTAATACTCTACCACTTGAACCTCAACTCACTTCTGGCATTTTGGTGGTTTAGTGGAGATATGAGTCTCACAGACTGTGCTGCCCAGGCTGGCTTCGTACTGCAGTCCTCAGTTCTCAGCCCCCAGAGTAGCTAGGATTACAGGTGTAAGCCACTGGTGCTAAGCTATACATCTCTCTTGTATTGTACAGACAGTAAGTGAAAGGCATTTTATAGAATGCATTAAGAGGTTGGGATGCTTTTGAGAAAAGACACTGTCTTGAGTTAAAAATAAACATGTTTTTGTCTCCCTTCCTGTAATCTGAATGGGGTTTAGCTAAGGAAAAGCAAGTATCCCTACCTTTCTTTGGATTGCCTTGAATTTCTCTTGAGTCCTATCAGTTGAGTCCCTGTTAGTTTTAGATTTGTGCTCATCATATCTGGTTATTCTCATGGCATTAATGGAGTTATTTGTTTTTGTGCACAGAAAATAACTACTTTTTCCTAGCCTATTTAGAGAACTATTGCCTATATTAATGACCCATTTTTTCCGTGGCTGTGTACTAATAATTGCTTTTTCGGTTTTATTTTCTGCTTTTTACTTATTTTTAGTAAGTATTAAAGGTGAAGTATTTGGTTCAGGAATAAAGATTATATATTAAAATACTAATTGACATTTCCTGTGTTTCTTTAGGAAAAGTTTGGTTAATATATATCTGCCTAATGAGTATCTTTTTTTTCTCCTACTCTTCTTGTCAAACTTGCAGACTATTCTTGGTGCCATGAGGGATATGGTCAAACACAGAACTTCTATTTTCATTGCACATAGATTATCAACAGTGGTTGATGCAGATGAAATCATTGTCTTGGATCAGGTAAGAGATTATCTTTAAAAGTTAGTCTGGAAAACATTGGAAATTTTTAGATATAAGAAAGTTAAGGGACTGGGAAGGTGGCTCAGTGGTAGAGTGCTTGCCTTGCATGCTCGAGGCCCTGGGTTCGATTCCTCAGCACCACATAAGCAAAAAGAAAAAAGACGGAAGTGGCGCTGTGGCTCAAGTGGTAGAGCACTAGCCTTGAGCTGAAGAGCTGAGGGACAGCACCCAGGCCCAGAGTGCTGGCCCCACAACCGGACCCAAAAAAAAAAAGAAACTTAAATATTATTTCTAATGTACAGAGTATGTTTTTTAGAAGAGGTAAAGTCTTGATAAAATTCTATTTGGGACCCATTTGTAGGAAATAATACAATCACATTAACTTTATTAAAGTATTGAAAGCAAAGTTTGGCCAGAAAAGCATTAAAAAGTCTTCATGGATAGAAGCAGGTTTTCAATGATTCATCTATAAAATAATTTTTCTGCATTCATTTTTGCTGATTGGAATCTTTTCTTAATGTCTTTGCTATATTATCTGTTTTCATCTTCTAATAGTGCACATACCCTTAGTGTCTAAAAGAAAATTAGCATAAAATAAAGAGGTCATTTTCTAACATAGCCATTTTATTTTGCATTTTTCCTTATGGGGAAAGTAAGAAAATAAGCTTATTTTATCTTCAGAGATTGATACATATGACCAGAAGCTTTCCCATGCTACTGCCTCCGTGAACTTTGCCAGCAGCTTATTTCCACCATCACCACTCCTTTCCTCATCAGCAGATAATTGGAGGCTTCTTCTGTGGAGAGACAATACCATGACAATACCAGCTGAGACAATACCAGTTGAGAAGGTCATTTTCATGCACATACAGCTAGTATTTAGCCTTTTAATGCTCCATTCTTAAGTGTTAGTGTTAGTAAACCTCTAAAGCAAATAGCAAAAAAGGAGCTCAATAGGAAATGTAGTCAATGCAGAAAACATTAAAAAAATTAAAACTATCATATCCTCAGAAAACATGGAAAATTTCTAAATTTCTAAAATCAGTACAGATGCTATTTAAAAATAGTAAAGGAAACCCAGAGTGGTGTCTCACACCTGTAATCCAACTACTCAGAAGGTTGAGATTGGGAAGATTGTGGTTTGAGGTTAGCCCAGGGAAAATGTTCATAAGACCCCTTCTCAATCAATAGTTGGGCACAATGGTGTGTGCCTGTCTCACAGATACATAGATGGCTGAGATTAGGAGGATTATGATTCCAAACCAGCTTGGGAAAAATAGTTTACATGACTCCATCTCAATGGAAGATGGTGGATGTGGTGGCACACCTGTCATCCAGCTGTTGTGGGAAATGTAAAATAGGAGTGCGGTCCAAGCATGGACCTATGCCAGAAGCAAGATCTTATCTCAAAATAACCAGTGCTAGAGGGGTTGGGGGTATGCACAATGGTAGAACATCTTCCCAGCAGGCACAATGCTGTTCAGTCACAAATACTGTCATAAAAGAAGAGGAAAGGAAACATATATGGCATGACTTCCAGAATATAGGGTTAAATGAAAATAAATGTTGAGTAAAAGGAGTATATAGTATGCTGGCTTTTGCCAGGAGAAGGGACAGAAAATAATATGTGTACACGTGCCTGTTTATACTAAAAGAAACTCCAAAGAATAAGCTATAAACTAAAACAGCTACCTTCAGGATGGGGTGCAAAAAAGGGTTCCAAGAGATAGGGAAGGGAATACACTTGTTTATACTGTATTTGTGTCTGATATGTTCAAAAATAAAATTAAGCCAACCAATATGGAAAACAATTGGATACAAAGAAGACAAAACTGCCTATCAAATTCATAATCACTGAGAAGAAAAACAATGAATCCCAGTAACTCTTGAACATTTTTCCAATTGTATAGCCTTAGTGGAATATAAGGGCAAAAATAATTCAAAGACAAATCAAACTTAGTTTGCTTTTTTGGTCACGGTATTTTCAAGATAACCATTTTGAAACTACTTTTTATATATGTTAAAATTGAACCTATGAGTAAATACACTGATGGCGTTAGAGATATCCCTTTGAAGAAGATAGATACAAATATGTAATGATCAAAGAAGAGGAATGTGATGATGTTATAGTGGAACAGAATTATTAGTATGAATTCATAGTATTTTAAACATGATCTCTATTCAGTGGAATGGCCTACAAGCAGTAAAAATCTGGTAGCAATGTGAATACCTGGCACAGAGATTTAAGGCACTGTATGACTGTTTCTCACCAAAAGGAACCAAGCCTCCTTGGAGAAATAACTGACACCAAATCTGGGACAGAGAAACTAATGAACACATGTCACAAGGACACAGAAACCATTTTGAATGGGCTCCCACTGGCCAAATTTGGGATAATTAGAGCAGCAAAAAGAATAATGACACTAATGAATTCTTACACATTGAATACAAAATTAATTTCTGTATCCATAACAATACTTTTACAACAAAAAAAAGTGCTTAGCGGAAAAGGAAAGCCCATCTTTAAGAATTCCAACTGACACATGGAGAAAGAATGGTAATTTTAGAAAAATCGGACTTTGCAACCACCATTATAATAATTGATTCAGATAAGGATCATCACTGGTTGATAAAACCATATGGTGAAAAGCTATTGGGGAATAGAAGGTTCATAGGTTTTGCAAGTACAACTCATAGATAACATTAATTCCAAAGAGAAAATGTATCTTTAAATAGAGAAATCTGATCGATACCATTAACCAAGTGATCAAACTTAATATCAATTATGGAACAAATTAACTTCCTGTACCTCCTTAAGTAACTAAGAACACACGTATTTGTGACTGAAGCATTTAGCCTGGATCTAGTCATCAGTACCAACTGGACTAATACAAACTGAAGGGCATTCTTCCAAAAATAGGCCTGGACATTTCAGAATGTCAGTGTCACCCACAGACAGAGGCAAAGAAACTGTTATAAAGTCAGGGTATTGATCGTGACTGGATTCTTGATGGGAAAAAATAAAGGTCATTATTGGGATGAACTTTGATTATGAACTATGTTAGATAGACTGTCACATCATAGCTAAATTTCTTGGATGTGATATAGTTATATTCCAGTCATGTAGGAGAATGTCCTTGTTTTTAGGACATAGATACTAATGAAACATTTAAAGGTAAAGTATTACAGGTGTCTGCAAGTCATTCTCAAATGACTATGCAAAAATAGTGGGGGGAGGTGTAAACAAGGCAAGTATGGAAAAAAAACAGTTGCTAAATAGGAGAACTATTTATAATTGTTCACTTTTGGAGATTTCTAATAGTAAGATACAACACCAAGGAAATGAAAAAAAGGCTGTTAGTAAGTCTAAGAATATATAAGTATATGAAGAAAAATAAAAAATATATAAGAAAAATACATAAAATCCAAGTTTCTACATAGCTCAATAGCAAATAAATATGTTTACATAGCCATAATAGACACTAAATCAGAATTTTATTTGATGTTATTATGAAAGTAGAGAAATGGGGCAGAGGGAATGTGAAATAGTAGAAAGTACTTGTAAAGGTTTTATCATTAGGAGTACCAAAAATACTGACAAAATTTCTTTTCTATCCCACCATGTTTAACAGTAGCTAGCAAAAGAGATTGGTTGTAAATCAGAGTTTGGAATGTATACACAGACCAGTACAGTGTTGGGTTTAATAGTAACTTCTGGAACAAGTAAATTTTGTATTTTCATGAAATCAAAGTACACATATATATTTTAAGATATTACTTTACATCCCTGTACAAATTATTGCTTTTGATTTGAATATTTACTGGTTATAGAAAAATCACCATTTTATATTTTTAACCTTCCCTTCAAAGTGAAAAATAAGGGCTGGGAATGTGGCTTAGTGGTAGAGTGCTTGTCTAGCATGCATGAAGCCCTTGGTTCTATTCTTCAGCACCACATAAACATAAAAAGCCAGAAGTGGTGCTCTGACTCAAGTGATAGAGTGCTAGCCTTGGGCAAAAAGAAGCTCAGGAGGACAGTACCCAAGCCACAGGACTGGCAAAAAAGGAAGGAAGGGAGGGAGGGAGGAAGGAAGGGAAGGAGGGAGAGAGGGAGAGAGGGAGGGAGGGAGGGGGGGAACAATTTAAATAAAATTGTGTTTGTGATCATTGAATTTTCAATGTTTACTGGGGGCTGGAAGTTCCACAGTGATGAAAACATTTGTACTTCAGTTTTCCTCGCTTATACTATAGATATGGAATTGTGACAAGAATTTTACTTTAATGAACACAAATTTTTCAAAATCCTTCAGTTATAAAGTATTGCCATTTTTAGTTATGCTAGCTAAATAACCTTTCTCTGTGTTTACTTTTTAGGGTAAGGTAGCTGAACGTGGTACCCACTACAATTTGCTTGCTAACTCTAGCAGTATCTATTCAGAAATGTGGCATACTCAGAGCAGCCGTATGAATAACTATGGTAACTCCAAATGGAATGCACAGAAAGAGAATATGTCCAAGGAGGAGGAAAGGAAGAAACTACAAGAAGAAATTGTCAATAGTGTGAAAGGCTGTGGAAACTGTTCCTGCTAAGTTATATGAATCTTTCTTCCTCCATCCCTCTCTCTCCCCTTCCTCCCTTTCTTTCTCCCTCCTCCCCTCTCCTCTTTCTTTCTTACCACACATTTGCACTGAAGCAGAATTGTTTAATTAAAATCATACATTCCCACTTGCTATAATCCTTTTAAGTAGGACTTTATTTTCAGGAGGTTTTGAGTTTTATACCTTTCAGTCTTAACATGGCATCTGTATCCCCCAAATTATTTTCTTGCTTTAGCCCTAGTTGTGCTCAATACATAAATTTTGTTACATTTTTACTTTACTCTGTTGTTCTTTTTGAAGTTCTGACATCCATTTGATACCCATAACCAGATGAATCAGATTGATGTTCAAATTTTTGCAGTTTTTAAAAACCCCTTTATGCTGACAATTTGTAGAAAAGGGTCATTTTCTCAAAACTGAAGCAAAAGAGAACAGGATACATTTATTGTCTCTTCTCTATCCCCTCCAATTGAAATACTTTATTGATGTGAAAATTAGTTTATGAACAAATTTAAGGTTAGGACTTATCAGAAATAGGCATTTATAATTTGATGTCTTCAAAAATACCTATGCTTACAGTTTTTTAAGTGTTTCCAGTTATATACTTTTTAGAGGCAACATTTTTATTTTCATGTTGAGGTAGAGAAACAAAGTGTTGCAAACCAAATTTATGCATTTTTTTCTTTACATACTTATAAACCCAGGTGTCATTTGAGAGTTGCCATATTGGGAGTGATCTGAAAGTTTAGGAACTTAATGGCCTTTTCTAATTTCCATCTTAGATGCACTGATTTTTGCATCTGGAGTTATACAAACAAATAAGTAGAATGTTATGCATGTACCCACATATGGGTATGTACCTGCTCATGAATGTTTATTAATTTCTGTCCACTTAAACATTATTGAAAATGTTTGATAAATAAGAAAGATTAAATATATACATACATATGTATACATACACAGGCACTCTTTAAATGACCTAGACTCTCAATCTGTATTGACACTTCAGATTTCCTTCATTATAAGGTCTTCTACTTTTTTCACTAATTTAATGAGTTTCTTTAAGCCTGATGAAACAAGGAGCCTAAGCAATATAGTCAAGTTCCACCTGAAATAAAAAGAAAACAAACCTTACCTGCTAGGATTATTTAGAGGGCATGTACCTGTAGCTCAAGAAGCTTAGGAAGCTGAGCCGGGAGGATCACTGAGCCCAGGAGTTTGAGGCCAGCCTAGTGACATCCTGTCTCTTACACATTTCTTTTTTCAGTGTGAATTTGCTTTGTTTGACAGTAATCATTCAGTCTGAAACTTACATATCTCATGAATTAATGGCCCCATAACCATAAGTAATGAGTTTTCTCAGGAAAAGTACTCAAATATTTGTTTTATTGGTTTGTGGTTTTAATATGTGTTAAGTGATTTATTAATATAGGAAAGATTAATAGTTTTTTATTTGTTGACATTGTTGGGTAACTATCTGAATTTGTCTAACAGAAGTGAATACTTTTGTTACATAAAGGCAATTTGATAAGTAACTTGAGGCCAGTATTTTATATATAGCCTTTGATACTAGAATAAGTGATGTGACATGTTGAAATTAACACTGAGGTGCATAATCTGCAAAATGAGGTGGTTTTGCTTTTTGACATATCTTATTGTGAAGCCATAGGTATTATTGCTAGTCTAAAGAGAAAACAGCACTTCCACTGAACAAAGCAGTTACATTATTAGAAAGGGTAAAACCTGGGTAGAAATTTTGTTTCTACATTAATGCCTTCTATACATATCCAGTGATGCTGGTAAGAAAAAGATTTAGCTTAGTTGCATAAACAAGTGGGTAAAAATTAAGTAATCATTACTGATAATTCCACTTGAAGTGTTTATAGTGTTGTTAAAAGCAAGCAATTTTGTGATGCAGGGGAACATTGAGTTCAAGAAGGTAGAACTGTTTTCAAGGTAGGAATAATTTTCCCCACTAAGACATTTTGAAGCTGTTTTTCTTTTCATGTGATTGCAGGTGGTCCCTTAGGCCATTGTGGTCATTAACCTGTATTTTCAGCTAATAAAAAGTAAAACTACCTGAAAAACACAGTTATTATAGAGGCCATAACTACATCTTAAGGACATTTCTCTTAAAACCAAAAACCACGTCATATTAACATGGTTCTGTGCAGAGAAATAATAGATTAGTTGAAAGAAAAGCTTCTTAGGATGATTCACTCATAGGAAATGCCAAAAAAAGGAGCATTTAATTATAATGTACTAATTTTACATTACAATATTACATGCTCACACAAAAGGACAATGTGTATAAATTTTTTAATTCAGTGTTGGAACAATGTTTTTAATGTATCAGGATGAATAAGCTACAGTTTTAGAATTTGAGCTCTGAAAATGAACTAAGATGATAGGGATGTAATTCTTGTACTCCTTTGTTTTAAAGATTGGAACATTTATTTTCTAAAGTAATCCAAGTTTACAGAAATTAAGTTGAAACCAAGGTAAAGTGGGTTGGGATTGAAATGGACTAGGTGCCATTCTGGAGGTTTGTCACATGGAAATATTTTGATGAGCAGATGAGCTCATTTGGAAGTCTTTGAACAGCTCAAGTCAGGGTCACTTGGGATAATCACAGAGTCCTTCACATTTGGACATGAACAAGCTCACAAAATGCATTTCCTTTTCCTCTGCAGGGATGTGTACCTTTTACATACCTTAAGATTGTTATTTTGTCTTATTCTTCGATGTTGACAAATGTCACTTTGTGAAAATGGTTGTTTCTAAAATATGTTTTGTTTAAAAAGGTATTTAAAAATTGTGTGATTCAAAACTTCACTCAGAGACATTGGGAAAAGATGTGTGATTCCTTGTTTTTGGAACCCTTTGTTTTGTTAATGCTGCCATATTGCTCCTATCTTTCCTACTTGTTCAGTGTGTCAGCAAGTAGCCATTTTTGCCAGTGTATGTTCATAATTCTCTTACCTTATAACTTTATTTCAGGATATGCTGTTGTGAATTTGTAGCTGAAAGTATTTAAATACGTTTGCAATTGCAGTTTTCTTAAATTATTAGGACGTCTCATTTTTTCTTTCTTTGAATATATACATTTTTGAATGTAAACTTTATGGTCAATCACAATATTAAGCCAAATAACCTGTATAAAACTGGTTAAGACAAAACAACTGAACCAAGGAATCCCTTACCACAGTTCTGTTGTTTATAGCAACCTGTGTGGATAATCATTACTAAATAAACATCTGTCTTTGTGACTAGAAATGGGTATTCAATTGAAATTACTCTTTTCTGAACTGTCTAGGGGAAAGCTGATACTTCATCACAACTTTCAAAAATTAGATCATTAATAGACACCTGGGAGTATGGTCCTGCAGCCTTATGCAGAAGATGGAAACTTGGCATTGGTTCAGAGAGAACGTAATTATTTGTGGAGCTCATAATGCAGGCAAACTGGTAGCAATTATAGTGATTTCATTTAGCATTATGCTGTCATATTTTTGATGGCCAACCAGTGAAAGGGTCCTAGTTTCTTAGTTACCCACAGTTCTAATGATTAGGAAGGAAGCCTTTGGCTGAAGAAAAGTCCTATCTAAAAACCGTGCATTAAACTAGCATCCCAACTCACTAGGTAGAGTTGGAAATGAAGTGTGTGTTCTAATTAAAAAGAGGCTGGAACATTTTTATTGAAAAATGTCAGTAGATTGTTTCCATATTTCCTGTTCTCATACAGCTACAGTGAAAATGTTGCTCACTGAAGACTTTGTGTTGTTTCATAAAATCATAGGATATGGATTGGAAAGAGTTGAAGGGTCATTTAGTACAATTTCCTCATAATGCAAATGAGGAAGTTGAACTTCAGGAGAAGTCACTGAGCTTGCTCAGGCCTACTTAGGATGAAAACCCTGGCTTCTGACACCCTCCTCCTATGCAGCACCATATTCCCATTCAGAAGTTACATTACAAAAGAAATTTAAGGGCAAGACTTCTAGAATAATGAACTGAGGAGCTCAATAGACCCTCTCCCCTACAAAGCAACAATTTAATTGGTTTAAAAACAAGGTTGATTTAGAAAAGGCAATCATTTAAAGCTGCTGAAATTGTCTTCAGGGCATACAGGAAATGAAACATTTATTCAAGTCAATCTATTAAATCTTGGCAAGAACAGCAAGAGACTGGCCTTTGAGAAACAACCTGATCCATACCCTCCACACTCATAAGGCCAGACTTGAGTGCTTTGTGCAGAAAGCTTTAACTAAGGTGTTCTGTTCTGAGCATCTGGGTGAAGATGTGAAGAGAGGACTCACTCTTCCCCCAGCTCCCAGCCAGGCATTACGATTTCACCCTGGCAAGTAGATTTGCCTACATTTCTCATCTACCACCCTGCCCCTTCCTCTTCGGTGTGTCTTAATTCATTTTTTGTTGCTATAACAGAATACTGGAGACAAGCTAATTTATAAAGAATAGAAGTTTACACTGGGCACCGATGGCTTATGCCTGCAACCCTACCTACTCAGGAGACAGGTCTGAGGATCTTGGTTCACAGCCAGCCCAAGCAGGAAAGTCTATGTCTCTCTTATCTCCAATTAAGCACTAAAAAGGTGGAAGTGGAGCTGTGGCGCAAGTGGTAGAGGGCTAGCACTGAGCAGAAAAACTCAGAGACAGCACCCAGGTCCTGAGTTCAAGCCCCAGGACAGGCACAAAGAAAAACAAGTTTACGTGGATATAGTTCTAAAAGCTAGGAAGCCCAATAGCATGGTGCTGGCACCAGCTCATCATCCGGTGATGACATTTGCTGCATGATAATGTGATGGAAGTCATCACATGGTAAGGCAGAGCAAGTATGCTAGTTCAGGTGTCTTTTTTCTGATAAAGCCATTCAGACCATCATGAGACCCCACCCCCATGACTTCATTTAATCTAACCTCTCAAAGGTTCCACTTCCAAATACCATTAACATATGAACTTAGGGATTAATTTTCCAATACAGTGAGAATAAAAGGAACCTAATTTTTCTTCTCTAGTTTGCTTCTAGATTGGAAATTGGAATCAAAGAAGGAACTGGTAAACACTAGGGATTTCTACCCCACTGCTGGAGAGTACAAGGCTTGTCTCATTCCTGAGAAAGTTGGTCCAGGCCTCACCTGCAGTTTGCAGGTGCTGAGTTTCTACTTGAGCAAAAACATAAGAACATAGAAATCCATGGCTTTGCCTGCAACATGGCTTTCTTTGGAACAGGATGGAGAACTCCCTTAGCAAGGTC